GGTACCTGGGGCTTGGAGTGTGCAGGGGGGGGGGAAGGGGGGGGGCGGGGATGAGGGGATAGACCGACGGTGCGCACGGCTTGGCGGACGCACCCCTCGGCCTCCCAGGATTAGCAGCGGCACCGGGCCTAGAGGACCTGCAGGTGAGGCTAGAAGGGTCCGGGTGGGTCAGGCTACATTGGTGGTTTAGGTAGGATTTGTTGAAGGCAGAGTGAGGAATGCAAGTACCCGTCTTTTCTCCCAACTTGCCACCTCTCCTGGGACTCAGACAATGTGTCCCAGATCCAGGGTTAGTCACTACCTGGCCTTTAAGACTGGCTGGCCCTGTGTCCTTGCGCAGTACCTGATGACCACAACTCTTCATAGAGTAAGTGGGCAGGGGCTGAACCACTTCTCTCCCTCCCTAGTAGGCCAAGAAAGGCAGCTATGTCTAGTCCCATTGTGCCAACAGCCTCTGTCTGGAGAGCAGGGGAAAGGAGCAGTCATCCAAAGTTCAGAATTCCCTTTTTGCATGGCACAGGGAGGTACCTGCCTGGTTGAAGAGGGTGCCAAACCTCCAGGAATCCTGGTCCACCAGTCCAGGCCCAAGGTTATTGTGTGTGTACCCAGTAGGAGCAGATGGGACAGGAACCAGAGCCAGCAGGGAGTGGGAAAGTGAAAGAAGACAGTCTACAAGAGTCCTTATCGCCACCCTTTTCTATCTGCAGGTCATGGATGAGCTGAAACAGTTAAGAGAAGGAAGTAATACCCATTTTACAGACAAGGAAGCCGAGGCCCAGAAGTGCTTTGCTCAAAGGCAAGGATGCGGTGGACCGACGGCGCAAACCTACAGCCCTCAAGTCCCTGCCTCGAAACCTTCGATTTCACCGCTGCTGGGAGCTTGGAATCTCGAATCGGTTCAGACCAGCGGACTTGGCTTCGTGCCCGGCTACCTCCCCACTGGGTCGCGCCAAAGCCCCGCCCCCTCCGGAGCGGTCTCTGGGGAGAAGGGCGAGAGCTGCCACCGCGTGTCTCTTTAATGCGCGCCCCCGGAGGCCCGGCGCGCCCCCGCCATTATAACTGGAGTGCATGGAGCAGGCTGCGCTCAGAGGAAGGGCGGGCGGGCGCTGGGCACCAGTTGACTTTTTCAAGTGCAATCAGCGCCCGCCGGGCTCAGTCCCACCCCGTGGACCTGCCCGGGGGCGCCGACAGCTAAGGACCCGTAGCCCGCTAGGCTCCGGGCTAGGTGGCACCCCGCCGACGCCAAGTGACCCCCCGCGGGCTGCGC